GTCTGCATGGTTTTCATTGCTATGCATGCTGCATAGTAACAGGACCACCTGCAGCTGGGTTACTACTACCGGTGGTGGGATAAGGCCATTGAGGTCAAAAAGGGCACTGACAAGTTGCTGGAGCGGGCATGTCGGCTCAATGATGAGGTTCAACGCAGATAAGTGTGAGGTCATGTACTTTGGTCAGCAGAACACTGAAAGACATTCGGGGGTACAGTTCCAGTGGGACCTGGGCATACATGTGCTCAGATTATTGAAGATGGACAACAGGTGGAGAGAGCAGTAATAAAGCTGCTTTAATAGATGCATCAAGTACAAGAGCAATGAGTTGATGGTGAACTCTTATAACTTGTTAGACCTCATCTGGAGCACTGTTTCCAGTTGTGGGAGCCACATTATAGGAATGACGTGAAAAAGTTGGAGACAGTGCAGAAAAGATTTACAAGAATGGTTCCAATGATGAGAAACTTCAGTTATGAGGATAGATTGAAGAGGTTAGGACTGTTCTCATTGGAGAGAAGAAGGCTATATAAGACTACGGTTTTCAAAATAGTGAGTAGATAGGGAGAAGCTGTTCCCAGTCTTAAAATGATGAAGAATGAGAGGGCATAGATTTAAACTAGTTTGCAAACAAAGCATGGATGATATGAGGAAAAACAGTTTCACGTAGTGATTAGTTAGGGTATGGATGCGCTGCCTGGAAATGTGGTGGAGGCGGGTTCAATTGAGGCATTAAAAAGGAGCATTGGATGATTATTTAGATGGAAATAATGTGCAGGGATAAGGGGAAAAGGCAAGAGAGTGGTACTGGATAATGCAGGCGCGATGGACTGAATGGCCTCCTTCTGCACTGTCACAATCTGAGATTCTGTGACTAAATGGCCACTGAAGGGCCTCACTAGGCAGCAGGATGGGACGGTCGACCGTCGGTATTCTTGCCCGGGACTTAATTCTGGTGGAGACAGGAAGGCAACAGGGGAATGAGGTCTAATACTCCACTATCCTGCCTCATGACAGGCTTTTCCTACCTCCAAGATCATCATTGGAGAAAGCAGAAAAGCCTGTCCACTATTTGTGAAGAGAGACTTCACTGCTGCCTCACAGTGTCAGGGACCCAGGTTCGATTCCAGTGTTGGGTGATCGTCTGTGTGGAGCTTGCATGTTCTCCCTCGTGTCTGTGTGGCTTTCCTCTGGGTGCTCTGGTTTCCTCCCACAGTCCAAAAATGTGCAGATTAGATGGATTAGCCATGCTAAACTGCCCGTAGTGTCCAGAGATGTAAAGGGTTGGTGGATTAACCATGGGAAATGTGGGGTTATGGGAACCGGAGCTGGGAGCGGTAGAAAGTGTGGGGGTCAGGGTGGGATGCTGTTTGGAAGATCAGTGCATACGCGATGAGCCAATGGCCTCTTTCTGCATTGTAGGGATTCTACAATTCTATGAGAGACACACACAAATGAGAGAATAAAATCTGGAAAAGATGTTGCTCATGTTGACTGGTACATATTATACCATAATCATTCAGCTCTTTAAAATAAATTTGCTGAGAAAATCCTCGGGGCTGCTGATTTTGAATACCTGGCAGCAGAAGGTGTGAAGCCTGTGGCGCAACACTAGTGGCATTTTGCAACTAAGGGCTCACTGATATACTGCGTGCATTCATCACAATGTCACTTGCTTTGTTTGTAAAAGAATGAACCAAAAGTAAGGTCAATCACAGCTGACAAATTCAATGCTGCTTTTTACCCAAAGTCTCTGGAAAGAAGACGGAGCAAAAGCATCTTTGAAATGTTTTCTGAGAACGCACGAAACCTGCAGGAAATCTCAGAGGAATTTGATGGAATAAGGAATTCTTGCATTTACGTTGCCTTTTGCATCGTCTCGGGATGACATTAAAGAAGAGCAGAGATGTTCACCAGATGGCCAATGTTTTCATCCTAATTTTGCTCCTGGTCATGTTGCCCTGATCCTTGGAGTGTATACAGCACAGAAGCAGACCCTTCGGTCCAACTTGTCCATGCTGACCAGATATCCTAAATTAATCTAGTACCATTTACCAATATTTGGCCCATATCCCTCTAAACCCTTCCTATTCATATATCATCCAGATGCCTTTAAAATGTTGTAGTTGTACCAGCCTCGACCACTTCCTCTGGTTGCTCATTCCATACATGCACCGACCTCTGCATGAAAAAGTCGCCGCTTAGGTCTTTTTTAAATCTTGCCCTTCTTACTTTAATCCTACGCCCTCTAGTTTTGGACTCCCCCAGCCCAGGGAAAAGTCCTTGTGTATTTATCCTATCCATGCCCCTTATGATTTTATAAATCTCCATAAGGTCACCCCTCAGCCTTCACCGCTCCAGGGAAAATAGCCCCAGTCTATTCAGCCTGTCCCTATAGCTCAAATGCTCTAACCCTGGCAACATTCTTGGAATTTTTTTCTGAACCTTTTTGAGTTCCACAACATCCTTCCAGTAATAGGGAGCCCAGAATTGCACATAGTATTCCAAAAGTGGCCTAACCAATGTCCTGTACAGCCCCAACACGGCCTCACATGACTTCCTAACTCCTATTTGCAATGCACTGATCGATACAGGGATGCATACCAAACACCACCTTCGCTATCCTATCTACTTGCGACTCCACTTTCAAAGAACTATGAACCTTCAATCCAAGCTCTCTTTGTTCAACAACACACACCAGGACCTTGCCATTAAGCGTAAAAGACTTGCCCTGATTTGCCTTTCCAAAATGCAGCACCTCACATTTATCTAAATTAAACTCCATCTAGCAGTCCTCAGCCCATTGGCCCATCTGATCAAGATCCTGTTGTACCCCAAGGTAACCTTCTTTGCTGTCCACTGCACTTCCAATTTCGGTGTCATCTGAAAACTTACTAACCATACCTCCTACGTTCACATGCAAATCATTTATATAAATGACAAAAAGCAATGGATCCAGCACCGATCTTCATGGTAAACCGCTGGTCATAGGCTTCCAGTCTGAAAAGCAACCCTCCACCAACACCCTCTGTCTTCTACCTTCGATCCAGTTCTGTATCCAAATGGCTAGTTGTCCCTGTATTCTATGTGATTTTACCTTGCTAACCAGTCTATCACAAGGAAGCTTGTCGAACGCTTTACTGAAGTCCATATAGATCATGTACACCGCTCTGCCCTCATCAATCCTCTTTTCGAAGAAATAACAAAACTCAGTCAAGTTCGTGAGACATGATTTCCCACACACTAAGTCATGTTGACTATTCCTAATCAGTCCTTTCCTTTTCAAATATATGTAAATCCTGTCCCTTAGGATTCCCTCCAACAACTTGCCCACCAGCGATGTCAGGCTCACCGGTCTACAGTTCTCTGGCTTTTCCTTACCTTGCTGTGTACATATTGGCTGACATGTTTCCTACAACAGTGACTACATTTAAAAAGTGCTCCATTAGCTGTAAAGAACTTGGGGATATCCTTAGGTTGTGAAAGGCAGTAGACAAATGCTCAGTTCTGAGGAAGGATCACTGGAACCAAAGTGTTAACTCTGATTTCTCTTCACAGATGCTGCCAGACCTGCTGAGCTTTTCCAACAACTTATGTTTTTGTTTGAGGCAATGCAGGCCTTCCTGTTCACGTTTCACACGAAATGTTGGCAAATTGACTTAAAAATGAATTGCGTGGAATCTTAGTGACTGTTATATCGGCAAATATAACAGACACATTGAGTACAGCAAAATCCCACAGATATCAATGAGGTGAATTCCCAGTTAATCTTTTTTCTTCCCCAAATGTGGTGATGATGATTAAGGTAAAAATGCCAAGCCATCAGGAGATAACACGATGCGAATCTGGAGGAGCTTGGCAGACCAGGCAGCATCAGAGGAGCAGGTAAGTTGCCTGATGCTGCCTGGCCTGCTGTGTTCCTCCAGCTCCACACTGTGTTATCTCTGACTCCAGTATTGGCAGTTCTTACTATCTCTGAGCCATCAGGAGAATTTGTTGCCATTCTTTAAACTGTGACATGGGATTGTCAAGGTTATAAATGAAACACATGGATAGACAAATGAAACTTCGGATTGATGTATCATTTCAAAGGCTAATATTTCCTGACAATGATGAGCTCCTCAACCTCGCACAGTCAGCCATCTTTATATGTTCAGCAGGAGTCTCTCTCTTTCTCTCTCTCAAATGCATCCAGTTCTGAAGAACACTCATACAAGACATGAAATGTTAACTTTTTTTCTCTCTCTACGGATGCTGCCAGACCTGCTGAGTGTCCCCAGCAATCTCTGTGCTTACACACAGGATAATTCTCCATCTCATCATTGAAGTAGTACAATGAGATCTTTTTTATCCAATGGCCAGGTAAATGGGCCTCAGTTTAACATCTCAGGGTAGACATGAGAACAAAGCACATTTCCACAGAGCTGTAAGTGTGGTAAAGTGTCTCTAGCTGTGCCATAGCAGTGTGTTCAAACTAAATTTGACACTGTTCCACGCAGGACAATATGAGGATAGGTGACTGAAAGTCTGGTTAAACAGGTAAGTGTTAACGTGAATCTTAAGACAGGAAAGAGGTGGAATACATTAGAGTGGGACATAACAAAACTTTGAGATGAGGTAGCTGAATGTATACCCCCAAAGGTGGCACAATAAAAATTGGGGATGGCAATAGGCCAGCATTAGGAGAGAGTGCGGAGTTCTTCCAAAAATCTTTATAAGGACCCAAAAGGAATTATTACACAATGGATGTGAGATTTGCTATTGAACCACTCAAAATATACTGCAGCTTGGAAATTCAGAAAAGCAAAGGTGCTGCTGTGTACGCATCAGCAAATGCTGCCAAATTCTAAACTGGAAAACAACAGTTTTTCTTCTATTTTTAAACAGTGTTCTTCAGACAAGACGGAATTTTTCATTGCCACCGACTTCAACGTAATTCAAGGCTTTGTTTTGGTAATCTAATCAATAGGTCCAAGTGCACGATCATACAGCTTTATTACCTTTTGTATCCACGTCAGCAAACACTTGTGATGAGCGACTAAACTCTTGCAGTCACAATACTGTAACAAGGAATCACGGTCTGTCACCTCCAGTTCTCTACAGATGAAGCATTCAGGAGCATCATCTGAAATTTTAAATAAAACACATTAAAGAAAGCTATGATGAAAAAGCATTACAAACAATTGCAATTGTTATACTTCCCGAGTAGCACACATGAAATCAAGTCTCACTTCACAGTTGTTACAAAAATTAAAGTACACAAAATTCCCCCATTTACCCCATTTTCAGACCTAGTTGTTAGAAAGCATGGATGAGATTCTGTAGAATTACAGAATCCCTACAGTGTGGAAGCAGACTATTCAGCCCATCAAGTCCACCCCAACCCTCCAAAGACCATTCCACTTAGACCCAACCCTCCAATCTTATCCCTGTAAGCCTGCATTTCCATGGCTAACCCACCTAGCTTGCACATCCCTAGACAGAACAAGCAATTTAGCATGGCCAATCCCCCTAACCTGCACATCTTTGGACTGTGGAAGGAAACCACAGACACAGGGAGAATGTGCAAATTCCACACAGACAATCGCCTGAGGCTGGAATCCAACTCAGGTCCTTGGCACTGTGAGGCAGCAGTGCTAACCAGTGAGCCACCATGCTGCCCCTAACTCACTGCATACAAATACGCTCCTTGTCTCTTTCTAGTTCTTTTGCCAGTTATGCTGAAACTTTGCCGATCAGTTTGTTAGAAAGGTTGAAAAAGTGAAACCCATGCAATATAATATTTAAGAGAAATTACAAATTACATTTTGTGAATTATTGGCATAAACTGCTAAGCTTGTTAGTTTATAGCTAAGTTGCACTTAGTAGGAATTGCTACTTATTGCAAGTAATTAAACTCTAGCTACAGGCGAACAGTTATAAACTCTTAGCATATAACAATACAAATTAAAACTCCAATCCCCTTACCCAACAAGGCAATGGGTTATGAGTGAAGGCAAGCTGGAAGGCAGCTTAGTGATTCCTATTCATGTGATGTGCTATTAACCATCCATCAAATTACTTTCTTGGCTAAACTTGAGAGACATTTCTAAGTGTTGGAAGTTGTTTGATATAACAGGTTAAGTGATGTGAGTGTGTCTGAATGAATGAATGTCACATGGAGCAATGTTGCCACCATATCCTTAAAGAATTGGCCTTAAAGGAGGCCACAGAATCATTCAGGGTATTTTCTTGGTCTTATTTTTGTGGACCTGGAAAGCCTGGTATAATTCAGCTCATTGGCAGCTTCCTCCAGCTTTAATCAGTCCCACTCCTAGTTCTAAGCGCTGTTCAGATCAACTCAGGAGCTGGCCTGATTCCTGCCTCCCCTTCTGGTGGATTTCTGGGTGAAACTTGTTTGATTCCATAACTTGTCCCTGGCATTAGTCAAGATGGGACAGAGGTAGGCGGGAAACCATGGTTATGGAAGAACCCATGGTTGCACCCAATGTGGCCTTGTCTAGATTGGCGAAACGAAACAGAGACTAGGTGACCACTTTGCAGAATACCTCTGGTCTGTGCGCAAGCATGACCCTGACCTTCCTGTAGCCGGTCATTTTAACACAGTGTCCTGCTCGCATGCCCACGTGTCTGTCCTTGGCATGCTACAGTGCTTCAGTGAATCACAGCACAAACGGGGTGAACAACTGCTATAGGCGTGGCCGAGTGGTTAAGGCGATGGTCTTGAAAGCCGAAGGGGGGGTCCCTGCACAGTTTCAAAACCTACTGACTATGGTTAAGAGCTCAAGGCCAATAAAAGGGGAGTTCACTCCCTGCCTTTCTAGGGCCAGGGGAGGCAATAGCCCAGTGGTATTATCGCTGGACTATTAATCCAGTGACCCAGGTAACATTCTGGGGAACTGGGTTCAAATCCCACCATGGCAGATGGTGGAAATTGAATTCAATAAAATATTCAGAATTAAATATCTAATGAGGACCATGAATCCACTGTCAATTTTGGAAACCCCATCTGGTTCACTAATGTCCTTTAGGGAAGGAAATCTGCCATCCTTACCTGGTCTGGTCTACATGTGACTCCAGACCCTCAGCAATGTGGTTGACTCTGAAATGCCCTCTGGGCAATTAGGGATGGGCAATAAATACTGCCTAGCAGCAATGTCCTCATCGCATTCATGAATAAAAAAAAACTCATCTTCAGACTGGGCACTTTACATTGTGAACCGACTCCCATTTCCTCCCTTTCGTTTAGCTTTATTGGTTACATTTTCCTAATTCTTTCCTTTCTTTTAGCTCTACTGGTTACATTCTCTGTCACCATGTCCTCTCTCCCCTGAACCCCACCCCACCCACCCCAACCAAGTCGGACCATTGTTCTGCCATTCTCACATTCTGATCACTTAATTTGAACTATCAACATCCTTTCTCCCCCAGCACTCCAACCACAGCCCCCGTCCCACTATTGCATAAATGCTGCCCCCTCCACGCTTCACTTCAGCTCTGGTGAAGTGTCATCTAGACTAGAAAAACCCGGGTTGCTTTCTTTGGAGTGGTGGAGGCTGATGGGAAACTAGATAGAAGACTGTAAGATTATGAGATGCATAGATAGGTCAGAATCTTTTTTCCAAGACGTGAAATGCCGAATACAAGGGGTCATGCATTTAAGGTGGGGGAGGGGGGTGGGAGTTCAAAGGAGATGTGAAGGGCAAGTTTTTTTTAAACACGGAGAGTAGTAGGAGTCTGGAACCAGGGCTGGTGGTGGAGGTAGATACGTTAAGGGCATTTAAGGGACTTTTAGATTAGCACATGAATATGCAAGGAATGGAGGGATATGGACCAAGGGCAGGCAGAAGAGATTAGTTTAATTTTGTGTGGTGTTCGGCACAACATCATGGGCCAAATGGCCCATTTCTGTGCTGTACTGTTCTTTGTTCTACATTCTAAGTTTAAGTTCCTAATCACTCCCTGATCCACAGGCTTGTGCCTTGACTGTGGTGTTGGAAGGTACATATATAAGCTTGGCACTTGGAGGCCAGCAATGTTGGGCTGCAGGGAGCAGTTGTCTGTTATGGTAATGATAATCTTCCTTTTCTTCCATTGATACATTTTATCCACTTTCTTCATCCACATCTCAAAACTGCTGGAGGTCCACCGCAATTTTGTTGACAAACTCAAAGATGCAAGCTCACGCTCCTCAGAAATGTTCACTTTTTGCTTCACTGTAGTACCCTCACTTTGTTTCCAACTGAGCACCTTTTTTTAAAAAAACTTTCCCACAGGTTTAGCCACACTTTCAGGGTTTGAATGTCTCTTCCACGAGAGATTGCAATGACGAATGATGGCTTTGCTGTGATTTCACACTCTATGGGCAGAGGGGGCGGGTGTGAGTACATGTGTATATTTAAGGCTTATACAGATAGATTCCTGATTAGTCAGAGGTTCAAGGGTTACAGGGAAAAGTCAGGAAAGTGGATGCAAGGAAGGTCGGGAATCCGCCATGAATGACAGAGCGGGCTCAAGGGGTCGAATGGCCTCCTCCTGTTCCTATTTTGTTATGGTTTGGCATGGTCTAATTTCTCTCCAATTGGTTCACACAATTGTATGACCAAGCGTTCATGCATTCGTCTAATCTCGAGTCACCAATCAGGAACATCGAAATATTTTGTGTTGGGAATAGCTGACACCTTCTCCACAAGCAGAGTTCTGGAATATTCAAATGTGATTCGCCAAGGTTTCACTGTATATATTGAATAAAGGTTTTAGTGTTCACTGACATGGGTGCGGAATGCATTCTATCAACAGCCCAGACATGATCTCACTACATCACAGGGATGTAAAGGATCCCACTTGGCACTGTTCGAACTTGAGCTGGATAAGTATTCACAGCAAGTTACCACTGCTTTATAAAGAACGGATTATCTGGACCATGGACTGGATTTTGTGGCTGTAACAAGGTACAACTGTCAGTTTTTGCTATCACTACTCTTCTAAAGTTGACAGCAACTTCTAGAGTTCATATAAGTTTGGATAAATTGTTGTCATGATACAATGCTTCCCTTAAAGGTGTGCTGTGATGTCGTCCCGGCCCATAATCAAATGGAGATCATACAACTGATGTAAAGTTAACCTTCTCCTGCAATCAGTCTCATAATAAAAACCTTTGAAGAAGTAATACCTTGTTGAAGAAGATATGACTAGGTTTTTAATGACATCCTAGGTTTCTTTGGCATGAACTTTATTCAACATGCAGTACCTTTTAATTTGTTGGTATGGCTGAGTGTATGTGGCACCTCAAAGGAAACAGTTTCCATGAGATATTTGGGATGGACTTCAAGATAGCTGCACAGTTTAGATGGGACATTGTTCACAATTAAGCACAAATCGCCTCTCTAGCCCTGAAAGAAAATGGTTAGTTGTCGTATGTCTCCATTATAAATAAATGCAGTTTGTTGGGTAGTTTAGTTTCTACTCATGTGCATATCCTAATCATATAAAAGATTTCTTTTTTCTATTCATTTTTTGTGGGATGTGGGTGTCGCTGGCTGGCCAGCATTTCTTGCCCATCCCTAGTTGCCCCTTGACAAGGTGGTGGTGAGCTGCCTTCTTGAACTGCTGCATTCCTCCTGCTGTGGGTTGACCCACAATGCTATTAAGGAGGGAATTCCAGGTTTTTGACCCAGCGACAGTGAAGAAACAGCGATATATTTCCAAGTCAGGATGGTGAGTGACTTGGAGGGGAACTTGGAGGCGGTGGTGTTTCCATATATCTGTTGCCCTTGTCCTTCCAGATGGAAGTGATTGTGGGTTTGGAAGGTGCTGTTTGAGGATCTTTGGTGAACTTCTGCAGTGCATCTTGTAGATAGTACACACTGCTGCTACTGAGGGTCAGTGGTGGAGGGAGTGGATGCTTGTGGATGTAGTACCAATCAAGTGGGCTGCTTTGTCCTGGATGGTATCAAGCATCTTGAGTGTTGTTGAGACTGCACTCATCCAGGCAAGTGGGGAGTATTCCATCACACTCCTGACTTGTGCCTTGTAGATGGTGCACAGGCTTTGAGGAGTCAGGAGGTGAGTTATTTGCCACAGTATTCCCAGCCTCTGGCCTGCTCTTGTAGCCACTCTGTTAAT